CTTTATTGATTGTACTTAAAAGCCATATATCTTGATCAATTTTTATCTGATCATTGTGCTTTATAGCAATAATATTCTTGATCAATTGTTTGTGATTATTTGAGCATACATTGTTATTTTAGGAGGGACTGAGTGCTTAACAAAAATACCTCTATGGAATGTCAGAACCGACAAACCTTTCCAAGAGGACAACCATATCTGAGTGAGCTTTAAATACAAAAGGGTTTGTGTGCAGAGCTTAAAATGAAAAAGAGAGGGGTAGTTGTTGTGAGTTAAAAGAATTGATGAGAGTTGTGTCAGGATTAAAAGAATATAAGAATCCTGCTCCAAACTTCTAAATTTCCGGGCATACCACATAATCTATTAGTTCTCAATTCTTTCGAGACTAATATTGAAAAAGGCAAAGCCCATGCCAATTCTTGTCACAACCCTACCAGCTACTCATTTATCTCTTAACAGATAAGTGTTTCAATAACACTTGGGGCACGCAGCTCACAATCTATCAATTTCTCATTTGGAGAAAGTTGATATTGAAATAGAAGGATATATGTCCCCCTTTCATGTCTTTTTGATCACTTATTGAGTCTGATAAATTTGTGTAGTCCACACGGTTTATCTTTTTGAGCATAAACAGAAGCACATGTTGCCTTATCTTTCTACACTACACAGATTTTGCAAATTATATGTTATTTTGCCGAAACATTCATAGATATGCTATTATTAAGCTATCGATGATTGAATGGAAGACCTGGTGAGATGAGCATCATAAAGTCTCATATATACAGTACATCTGTTGTACTGAGTATATTTGTTATACTCACAGGCCAATCTTTTATAAGATTGAAACAATTTCATTCGTTGAAATTGGTTGTTACATTCCCATTCCCTTAATCTGAAAAGATTAAACAAGTGGATTTGAAAAGATCTGCTTACAATTTCATGAATTGACGGCTTTCGCGGAAGATTTCATTCATTTTTGTGTATGATGTAATGATTCTCATTTCATCATAAGGGGGAGTATGTAATAATGAATGAAATATTCAATTCCGATCAATATAAAGGGGGTTTGTTATAAAGATCAAGGGGGAGTAACAACAAAGATCGGCAAAAGAATCAAAAGGAGTGCGACTGGAGATTATTACAAAAGATTATTCCTGTGCTACAATGTCTGAGAGTTGTTGAATGTGAAGATCATTTTTACAACAGTTTGCTGATAAAGATTACCTTTGAAGAGAAAGTTTGTTAAAGATCAATTCTGAAGATTGCTACTGTTTTTGTTCTACATTGTCAAAAGAGAAGATCATCGCTGTTCTACATTCGAGGGGGAGAATGTTAGAAGATCTTTCTCAACAAATGATTGTCTGAAGATTTCAAGTTGAAGATTGTTTTTGAAGAAGTCATATAGTGCTTAGGAGACAAAGTTCAATCGAGATTCAACGCGAAAATTCTTTCAAGTCTGAATACAAAGGGGGAGAATGTTAGGACTGAAAATCAATATTAAATTGTATTCGTATAGAAAGATAAATATTGTCTATAATTGTAAAAGTCATCGTGTTTGACTTTTCTATAGATAGTTTGACTTTGATTTGGCTTACATCTTTGACCCTATATAAAGGGTAAGTCTTTTGTAATTTTGGAAGAAGAGCTTTCATTGTAATATCTGATTACCGATAATAGAGTTTGACCAGATTTAGAGTTTTGACTTTTTCTCTCATCTCTCAAAAGTGTTCTTGATTGTTAATCTAAGATTCTACCATGGATTCGTATTAAAAGTTTGAAAATTCATTATTGTGGAACAACACTTATGTCCCCACGCTTGGTAGGAATGTTTTCCAAAATATAGTTTCATACCAAAACAGATACGTCACCACGCTTGGTAGAAACAGTTCCAAAAATCCAATTCCATACCAAAACAGACTTATGTCACCACGCTTGGTAGGAACATATCTTTTTATTTAAAAAGATATAAAGAACCCCTTTCACAATATCATAATTAAACCCAATAATATTTTTACCAAATTATAAAAATTCCAAGAAAGCCCAACACTTTCTATTTTCATCAAATACACATCCGAAAAAGTTATCCGGACAACACTGCCTTTGTCCGATGTACAAATCCGGACAACATACTTGTCCGATTGATAACTCCGGTCAACATAAGCCCTTGTCCGATATATTAATCTGGACAACACTTGGTCGATTTAGAACTAATCCGCACGACCCTTGAGCGATTTAAGACTAAACCGCACAATGCTTAGTCGTATTCCTACTTCTCTGTTCAAAACCTTTAACCGATTTACACAATTCAAATTCTCAATAACTCATTAAATCGCACGACCCTATGATCGATTTAAAACTAAATCGAATGACTCATGTCCGGTTTAAGGTAATCTAGACAACACTATGTCCGGTTTAGAAAGAATCCGGTCACCCTTTAACCGGATAAAACCCAAATCGCACAAACTTAATTCAAGAATATTATGCAACTCTTTCAAGATTAATAACCAAAACTTTTAAAAGAGATTTGTAGAAAATACTCACCTTTAAGACAAAACTCAGATTTTGAAGAAGATGAAAACCAAATTGTTTCCAAACTTGTTCTCCGGATAACTCTTCTCTGATTTTCTCAAAGTTTCCAAATGAGGCAAGAAAACTTGTCTCATACCCAACTTTCTATATTTATACTTTCCTTTTTAGGAAAGTCGGCCACAACTCCTCCCCCTCAGAATGCATGCATACACATACTTTTCCACCTATCATCTTATGCATATATTTAAACTCATGCACACGCATGCACATACTAATAGCATGCACATACTAATATTATGCATATATTTATATCATATATATATATATATATGCATCCACATATTATGCATGTATATTCCCATGCATAAAATACACATACTCACATATTATATTCATGTAAGAACGTACCCATGTAATCAATTAATTCACATAATTAAATACCTTGGGTGATTACCAGGATCCGGTTATCACAGTCGTCTTCATCGTTGTAAGATCTTCACCAGTCAGGAAGGTCGGGAGAATCACCGTCTTCATCTTCATCATCATCTTCCATATCACCAACATTAGCTGCAAAGGTGATTGGAAGGTCTTCAACATGGGCTTCTGCGCCAGCTCGGATGGCATCAACATCCTCAGCTACAGGAACTTCTCAGGAAGTTGGATTTTCATCAGCAATCTCAACTTCAGCTTCAGGATTAGCTTCAGTATGAGTCGTTGGGACAGCAACAGTGTCAGTGGCAGCAACTTTAGCAGCAGCAACAGCTCTACATTATGTCTCCCCATATTTGGCTATGACTTTGGAACAATAGCCAAAGAAGTGGTCGATAGTGCGTATCTGAAGCACCATCATTTTTTCAAGTTTTGTCATAGCACGGGCTAGAAGAATAGTAGCCTCGCACATTTGATCTAGCTGCTCGCGGTCTTCAGTGGTGAATGATGGTTCAGGTGATGGTATTGACTGTTGGAGAGTGGCCAATATCTGCTGCATCAACTCTTTATGCTTTCGAGATGAGAATTCACTTCATCGGTCTTACTTGTTAAAGCAGTGATGGCCTCAGCATTCGCTTGCACAGCTACTTGCATCGACGAGAGCTGGTCCTTGACTTCTTTTCCTTCAGCACAGACAGCTGAACGGCAGTGGAGACTTCATCCCTGAGAGGCATGCCTTTATGGACTTCATCCATTTTGATAAAGACAGTCTCCACAGCGGAGAGGAGTAACTTCACGTCATCAGCCATGTTGTACTCTTCGTCCATGGCTGGCGTCTCCTCAAAAGGAACTGATGGTTCATCAACGTCATCTGAAGGATTAACACAGGTTTGCTCCAAGTTTTCTTCGAGAGGATAGGCGACCGTATGCTAAGATGCCCCGAGAGGAGCAATCTCAGGCCCAGTGGTGGGTGTTTCATCATTAAGGAGGATAGTCGCTGATGAATCATAAACACGTGTCGAGACCAATGATGGAGGAGAGGAGAAAATGGCCGAGACAGATGAACGTGAGTGTTCAGTAGTGTCGATGCTGATATTCTCACCTTCAGTGATTTGGGTCACTAAGGCGATTGGGATAGGAGCCACAGGTACGACAGTGACTGTAGGAATCACTAACGAGGTGGGAAGGGTAACTGAAAGTGCCTCGGGGGTAAGGCGAGTTTCAATAGCTGAGACCTTTTGAGAGGTCACAACCAGAGTCGTGAGTGTCCCCTTTATGGATTTCTTGGCCCTCGAAGGGAGAACCAGGAGTGGGTTGAGAGGATGGACGTTCGGTAGAGAGGGTGGTGGTGGTTGGGATAGACTTTGGGGGGTTTTCCTTAGTCTTAACCACCTTAGAAGGATAAGAAAGAGAGAAATAAGAGGCAGGTTGCACAGCAGCATATAGTGCAATGTCTCCATGTCTTAGCTTATGATCCAGAATCCTAGATCCAAGCTTACAGATAGGAAGGTTATATTCCTCAGAGTACTTGTTGCCGAAGATTTTGGCGAACATCATGGAAAGAAACCTGGTGTAAGGAACAAATTTCTCCCTCTAGCGCTTGTTCAGCTTCAGCGCCAGGTCCTCGAAGATCGCAGCTGCATAGTTGATAGGGCATCGGTGGATGACAGAAATGCCGATGTTGAGAACGACCCTTGAGGCTTGATCTTGACCTCTAGTCTTGCCTCCCATGCACTAGATGAAGTGGGAGAAGAGGTACTGCCACACTGCTGACATGTGGTTCTTCTCGATCATCGATAGTGACTTGAGGGGTTTGCCGGAGTCTTTCTTCATTGGCCATGCACAACCAATATCATTGAGACAATCGATGATGATTTCAGTTTAAGGATAACTGATGAATGGACCCTTCGAAAATCGAAGAGCATGCCTTAGCGTCATCAACCAAAGCTGACGGTCCTGCGGTTGAAGGTGAAAGAGATTTTCTCCACCTGTTGACCATGCTTGTCAGTATCTTGTATAACTTTAGCAGTCATCCAGAATTGCTAAAGAGCTTCTTTCATCATGACAGGTTCATGGGTTAGAGCGTAGGCGATTGGTGACATCTTGAGGAAGGAAGAAGCCTTCTCGTAGAAGGATTTGTTTGAAGGGATGTCCAATAAGGCAACATGGTTGTTTGCCTTGAAGGTCACGTCTTCGAGTGAAAAGTTCATATTCTTGGCAGCCATTGTCTGTAAGAGATAAGAAATAAGATATAAAAGTTTTGTTAGTAATCCAAGATTAGGTTGTGAGATTTTATGATTTAGAACTATAAAACTTCTTTTGAAAAATCCATAAAGAAAATATTAGGGTTTTTCAAGAAGAATAAGTGCTTTGAAACTTTAGATTATAACCAAGTAAGAGAATGTGTTAATAATCTTAATGTTTGTATTTTAAGAGAACAAGTTCTTAAATAAACAAACACAGTTTCATTCGAAGAAGAACAGTTCAAAATATTAAAGAAGGAGTATCGGCCTTAGAGATTTAGAATAAAAGGTCAAAGGTTTTGAGCGTTCTAGTTTGTAGTTCTTACTTGCAAATATGTTTTGGCAGAGGTTCGTCAAAGATTTTGAAAGCGTAACGAAAATATGAGAAGAGAAGTCTCATATTTATAAGTAGGAGGAGAGAGAAAAAGAAATAGGAGAGAGGAAAATACGATTGTTGAGGAAGTGCCATGATGAAAAAGTATCACGTTCTCATCCATGATTGGATGGAATTTGGAAGAGATCGCGTGTGTCAGACTTTTATGCGCGTCTCAATGCAACTCGTATTGGTAAAAGAAAGTGTCGTCATTAAAACGGTTTATAATTTATTTCTTTTAAAACAAAAAGGTTTTAAGAAATTCAAAAGCCACTATTTGAAGAATATGAAAGGGTTTTGAAAGCGTTCAGTGATAAGAAGAATCACTGAATGAAAAGACCTTTTAAAACATTTTATCACTGAAGAAGAGTGTTGGTCCTGTTAAGGTCTACAAGAGTTTTATAGAAACAACTTGTAGAAGGGGGGGGATGAATACAAACACACGAAACTTTCCAAATTTAAAATATATATTGATAAAGAAAGATCAATACATATTTTACAAGATTATATGCGGAAATAGATAAGGTAAAAATAACCTATCTAAAACAATCTAAGCTTACACACTAAAGATCTTAGCAAAAGAAAAAGATTTGCCGTTAAGACTAAGAAGGAAATGAGTTATTTCTGGGTAAGAACTTTTTAGAATACTTGAAAATATTCTAACTTGCTTGAAGATAAGCGTAAGTGTTCTTAGATAGGTGTGTGATCTCTTGTGTGTATGCATGTTGGGGTACGTCTGCATAGAGAGAACACTCATCTATATACTCATTGCATTAAATGCACATTTAATGCAATGCAGTAGGGTTTGAACATGCGTTAAGCTTTTAGAGAAAGACTTGTCCTTTGCCACAGTGAATAGTACAAAAGCATATTCATGAGCAGACATCCTTTCATGGAGTTGGTGGGTAGTAGAGTCAACTAATCGGCTCCGTACCGTACTACACTCTAGAAATGGTGTGGGTTTGTTCTTTATGTGTGGAAGGACAAGAAAAAGGTAATATTGCACAGCAAGCTTCATTTGATCGCTGAATGCTGGAATAACCCTGAAGGTCTCTTCAGCATTCGCTGAGGCTTGGACAGGCTTCACACATATGTTGATCAGGTTATATTCACTAATCTTCAGTCTAAGTCTTGACTTTCACTGAAGGTTCTTTGGTGTGAGTTTTGTCTTCTTGAAGTATCGCTGTTGCTGTAGGATTTACAATACATGTCTCAGCTATCACTGAACATACTCAGTGATAATCGCTGGTACTGAAAGACGGAAACATAATACTTCGTAAAAGGTAAAAAGGATTATCATCAAATTGATGAGAGAGAGGATCAACAATCTCCCTTTATTTGATGATAACAAAGCAACATAAAGAAAGTTGCCTTATCAAATAACAGTAAAGAAAAGTTATGTATAAAGTACATGTCCCTTTTAACTGTTTTGGAATCGTTTTTAGTGAGTCAGTTTTTACTTAGTAAATTTCTTAAGTTAGAAGCTTAAGAAAAGGTATAAGAAGGGAAACTGAAACTAAAAGCATGTTCACTGACTTATAGATTGTCAATGAATGTAAGAGAACACTGGAACTCATAGACATGTGTCCCTATTACTCTTTTCAGGGATCTTTTTCAGTGATGCAAATGAAACACTTATATTAATTCAAAAAAGGAAATATTACAAGTTTTTTAGTACATATCTTAGACTTACAATATATAAATTGAACACTGAAAGTTGACATAGAATACAAAAGCTATATACAGTGAATGACAAATTACAAAATAAAAGTTACTAATCTAAGTTGTTCAGATTGATGTATCCAGGTACATCTTCTCCGAGCTTCTTTCGATGTCGAAATTCCTTTCTCATCTTGATGTCCATCGTTTCACCATATATGTCATCCTTCAGCCAATATCGGATGTATGCAAGATGTTCCATTAGGCAGAGATGTAACTCATACATTCTTTGGAAGCTGGCTTCGCCTTCATAGTCAAGGAAGATAAATCCTAACTCATGCTTGATGTGTATATTGTTGTGTATGTAGAGACCCTTTGATGGCAGTGAGAGATTCAACATAGAGATGTCCGGCTTTTTCGTAGCCTTCAGGACTTCATCCTAGAAGAACTTTGTTTCATGTTCGTTCCTCAGGGTTGGTCCGTCATTAGGACTTGAAGGTCTTTTTCTTCTTCCACCTTGTTAGTCCCTAATATGATCAATCTTTAATAAGCTTCAAACATCCATGGCAGAATCAGACTTAAGCTCAAGAACATGAGAGGAGAGTTTGAGAGAAATAGTCAAAGTCTGGTCAATGCTTTATTACGTAAAAGAATTTTACAAATGAGCTCTTCTTCTAAAATACAAGGAACTCACCCTTTATATAGGGTCAAACATCAAGACAAAGTCAAAGTCAAACTATCCTATGAAAAGTCAAACACGATGACTTTAACACAATTATAGAAAAAATTAACTTTCAAGATGAATACAATTTATCACTGATTTTCAGTCTTAACATTCTCCCTCTTTGTATTCAGATTTGAAAGAAATTGCGCGCTTTGAGTCTCGTTTGAACTTTGTAGCTTTAAGCACTCTATGTCTTTTTCAAAAACAATCTTCAACTTGAAATCTTCAGACAATCATTTGTTTGAGAAAGATCTTCTATCATTCTCCCCTCAAATGTAGAACCGCGATGATCTTCTCTTTTGACAATATAGATCATAAACAATAACGAACTTTAGAATTGATCTTCAGTAAACTGTTGTAAAATTGATCTTCACATTCAACAACTCTCGGACATTGTAGCACAAGAATAATCTTTGGTAATAATCTCTAATCGCACTCTTTTTGAGTCTTTTGCCATTATTGAAGTTACTCCCCCTTGATCTTTACAACAAATTCCCCTTATAATGTTAGGAATTGGTCATTTCATTCATTATTACATACTCCCCCTTATGATGAAATGAGAATCATTACATCATACTTCAGAATGAATGATACTTCAACAAGAATCGTCAATTCATAAAAATGTAAGTAGATCTTTTCAAATCCACTTGTATAATCTTTTCAGATTAAGGGAATGGGAAAATAACAACCAATTTCAACGTATGAAATTGTTTTCAATCTTATWAAAAGATTGKCCTGTGAGTATAACAGATATACTCAGTACAACGGATGTACTGTATATATGAGACTTTTTGAGGCTCATCTCACCAGGTCTTCCATTCAATAATCAATAGCTTAAAAATAACATATCTATGAATGTTTTTGGCAAAATAACATATAAAATGCAAAATCTGTGGAGTGTAAAAAGATAAAGCAACTAATGCTTCTGTTTAGATTCAGAAAGATAAACCGTGTGGACTACACAAATTTATCAGACTCAATTAGTGATCAAAAAGACTTGAAGGGGGGACATATATCCTTCTGATTCAATATCAACTTTCTCCGAATGAGAAATTGATAGATGATGAGCTGCGTGCCCCAAGTGTTATTGAAACACTTATCTGTTGAGAGATAAATGAGTAGCTGGTGGGGTTGTGACAAGCATTGACCTGGGCTTTGCCTTTTCAATATTAGTCTCGAAAGAATTGAGAACTAATAGATTGTGTGGTATGCCCGGATTTTAGAAGTTTGGAACAGGATTCTTATGTTCTTTTAATCCTGACACAACTCTCGTCAATTCTTTTAATCTCACAACAACTACCCCTCTCATTTTCATTTTAGTCTCAGCACACAAACCCTTTTGTATATAAAGCTCACTCAGATATGGTTGTCCTCTTGGGTAGATTTGTCGGTTTTGACATTTCGTAGAGGTATTTCTGATAAGCACTCAGTCCCTCCTAAGATTTAGCATTATGTACAGTTGATCACAAACATTTGATCAAAAAAAATATTATTGCAAATAAGCACAATGATCAGATAAAGAATTGATCAATAAATTTGGCTTTTAAGCACAATCAATAAAGGAATGATGCGACAACGATCAAATTATTCGGTATGCGAGAGAAATGAATGAAGATCTGTAAGAACGATTTTACAGATTCTGATAAAAAAAATGAAGTGTATATCAATTAAGGTAAAAAAATCAGAAAAATCAACCTTTGAATACAAACGAGCGTATTATCACCGAAAATGATTTTCGTATAAGAGACGTGATAATAACAGTTTGAAGAATAGCTGAAACAGGTATTGGAGTTATGTTCGATGAGAAATTACGCAAGTAAAATATCAGGAAATACCTGTTCAAAAAATCTACTGGTTTTAAAAAAAATTACTCACTTCCCAAAAATATTTTTTATTTATTGAACTTCTAGAGACTCCCCCTAGAAAGTAGATTATAGAAATGATTCGATTCAGCTCAAAAATTAAAAAAAATAAGAAAACATTTTAAGTATGGGTCCTAAACTGTGTGTTTAGAAACCACACTCGGTAAAGCACGGGTCCTGAACTGAATTGTTCAGAAGCCTTGTTTGGAACATATTACAACTCCCCCTGCATTAGTGTATCACTGATATGATATTCTGATAAGCAAAAATTGACATACCTGCAAAATCAGATAAAATAGATTTTGGTACCCAAATGAATTTGGGTCCTATTTTGTTAGTATCGGGCTRGGGTATGTTGTAACTTCCA